AGTTGTTGTTTAAATCATCCAATAGGTATATCTCTGAAAATAAATCGTTTTTCGACATTTTGATATACAACATCGTTGATGAACGACTTAAGACTGGTTTTGAAGTGTCATTCGATCACAAAGATTGATCGCCTACTATATCCATAACTGATCTTTGTAACGTCTACGGTGTTATCATAATCATCACTGTGAACTCTGGTATACGTTCTATTTCTGGTCACAAGTGTCATCCAAGGAAAAGTTGGCATAGTCCACTACACTGGCTCGGTACGGGATGCAATAGTTGCTCTATGTCGCATACAACGGATCTTCAGTATCGTCGAAAGTAATTTAATAGGCAATAGGTGTCAAAATAATGACATTATTATTCTACAAAGAAGAATTTAGCCATTGTACCGGCTTACTGAAAACTCTTTTAACTCATGTACAGTACTATTTTTAAGAATAATGTTATCATGGTTTGTATGAGCTTCTTAACCTTCGCTATGACAATATCTAGAGATATGGGTCTACACTTGGTTGTACTAGCAATTTCCACGGTTTTGTTTTTGACTATAGGTACAATCATTGTTGTGACTAATTTTGATGGGAGCTGTTTTTAATTTTTTTCAGGTTCTCGTCTTGGTGAGATGCAAGCAGTGGCCAGCCTTGCCGCATTTCTTTGCAACTTCTCTGTTGAACCCGCTGAATGTACTAAATACAAGCCAGAGATCGAGCCTAAAGCCTTAGCTACGGTTTTTAAGAACGGGCTACCCTTGAAGATCAAACGGAAACTTTCTTAAAGCTTTTAACACTGTCATAACCTAAACAGGCAAGTTCAAAGTACCCAAAATTACCGTACTTGTATAAAAAGTTGTTATGAGCGGAGGAAGCGTAATTGACACGATTTCTTGTATTTCTCATAACATCACTTGCTATCGGCAAATGTTTGTACGCAGTTTCTACCTAATCCATTAGGAACAGGTGTGGTGGTATACAGTGAGAATTAGGTTGATAATATCGCACTGATATTACAATAGTGTTATAACTCAAAATATGTGAAATTCAAGATTATATCATTGTTGAACGTAAAATTTGATTCTTTATACGTCAATAAAACCATCGTTAGAATATTGTAAAAAAACAAGCAAAAGATATCTACTTAACTCAAAATGTGACACGCTTTATGTGAGCTAGTTCTGGCCAAAACAGTCCTTATTAAAAAATATGAAGCTATTTTTTCTCTTTTATTTTTAAATATATATAGTTGGCAAGTACAAAAACATTTATACATAAATTTACACAAGATCTTTCACGGGAAGCGAGTAATTTGTTTTTCGCCGATTCTGAGAAAACACACCTTTGAAACTTTTGAAACACACTTTGAGTTAATGTTAATACACTATTGTATTAATAGTGCGATATGTAAGCTTATAAAGGAAATTGGTTCAATAAATTGAAAAGCTCGTTTATGTATACCTAATTAATAATAGTTGCGTCAAAAAATAATAAACCCTTTGGAAAAAAGTAACTTCCTTTATAATTGTTATTGTTGTCAATAGTTAATTTCATAATTTGGCAAAAAAAAAAATACGAAAAGGATTTAAGTGACATGGTTATAATTTAAAAATTAATTATTTCTAAGAATGTTTGAAATTTATTTTTTATTCAATTAAATTAATCGAAATCCCAAATACGACTTGTTTACATTATTCCGTATTTTTTGAAAGTTCTCACTTACAGATACTCTTTACTTAAGATCTGCAACCGTCTAGCTAGAGGATACTTCCTGACTACATGACAAATTTTACGTCATTCTCGCATCTATAAAGTTTTCGCACAGCTGGTCTAAACAAGCTCAAACACAGTATCATGTTGAATATTTCATATGACCGTTTAAGACTTTTTCAAAGGAATGCGACTCTTGATTGCAGTCTCTGGCAAAATTATGAGGTGATTGCATTGTTATGGGATTTGCACGTACGTATAAAAATTGGAACACTTTCTCTGTACCCTAGTAAGGTAAGTGTTTGAAATTTCAACAACTTGCACGATTTTATTCGACCATGTGTGACATGTTTATGTGCAATTAAATAAAATTTGGACAGAAAATTTTGAAAAAAAATAATTTTATATCTTGAATGAAAACATGCACAAGCAATCAATAGAATTGAAATATGTTAGTAAGTATGCCGCGAGTACCGAAGAATTTTTGCAAAAAGTTTAGAAGTTTCGTGGCTTCCATAATAAAGGATATTGAAATTTAACTTACCTCTTCATAAACATGATTTTAGTTAAGAAAACATTATAAATATAATGGAATTCGCCATTAATGTACATGAAGGCGTGGTAACTGGGCGGTCGCAGCGCGGCGGCCGCGCGAAAACTTTCTTCTCGTGTAACTGGGCGCTAAGAGTTGCAGTGCCACTCAGAGCTTTAAATCGCAACGATCTTAGGGATACAACCTAAGAACTCATAGCTATTAAATCTGCTTCTGCTATGAAACCCGCTTCATCGAAGACTGGCTCCAATGCGTCGTGTGCCACTTTTAGGTTAAAGAAAACTGAGAATTTGACGCCATGAAGAAAAAAAGATTTAAAAAAACAAAACACAAAGTATTAGACCTATCTAAGTCTAGAAATAATTAGGGTCCATCTTACCCATAGTCCTATGGTCATCACACCCGGACACCTCGGAAGAGATGGCCAATCGTAATTTTTTTTTAAACGAATTTTAAGGTTGGTCTCAAGACAATTTGTTCTATTTTCTGTTAAATATTTAATAGTTAATTGTTTAAAGTTTAATAAGAAATAAAGATTTGAAATGTATTATCTAAAATTTTATTTCGATAGCCTTTAAAAAAAACTATGGCCATCTACCCCGGTTTTACCCTAAATACAAAGATATTTTCCAATTTAAAATATTGTGTCATATTGCCACAAAAAACTGCACTTCCTCGAGAAACTCTGGTGTCTACCCAATTATATGATTCATAGCTTTATTAGCTTCACTTTATAAATTTTAGCAACAGACCTACAGCGATTTTTATAGCAAGTGCTAAACCCAAGCAAAATAATTCTAGAGTAATAAAATACTCGGTTTGTAAATGCTCCGAGGAGAGTTGGGCTCGGAAATAAGGGGTGGAAAGAGGTGAAATTTAAAACGAAATTGCAACGCTTTCAAAACGTGACCTGGCACCGTGGTGGCAACTTTCTTACTCTCAATACTGTAACTTTAATTTGTAGCGGTGCAAGTTGGTACTTATGTTTTTGATAAGGCTTGATTTTCAATTTAACTCACACAATCAAAATTTGACAATACTAGTTTACTTTTACAAATATACAGATGAAACACACATTCATAACATGTCCATACACAGAATACGCCTACCTATAACAAAATCAATTATCAATAATTATACCATAAAATATTGTATAAGCATTTTGCGTATAGTACAATTTCGTAACAAGTGTGACGAAGTATGAAATAAATAATAAATAAAAACAAAAGCATTTCAAATTCACTCGGAAGGGCTTTGAGCGGTTTCTAAGGGTGAGTTAAATGAAATTATTTATTAGTCTAGTGTGTATTTGTACAACCAAAAAAGACAGCGACAGTATCGGCTCCAAATCATAACCGTTGTGAGTATAATTAAGAAAGTTATCAATTTTACATGACAATAACGTAATTTCAACGTTTGACTATTTCATTATCTTGGAATGGTTACGGTTTGGAGTTGAGTTGCTTTAGTATAATCCCTTATATGAAAGCATTCTAATTGATTGCATAAGTTTGATTTGTGTCTCGCGAAAATTCATAACATTAAACTATTACAACTCGGAATGGTAACTGTTACAAGACAAACCCAGTATTATAATATTGTCTGTGTCTCATATTAACTTTTGTTTGTAAAAATACCCCGTGAACGAATAAATTAGATCTATTTGTAGATTCAAAAACAAGAATTAAAATATATTTTATTTATTTAGTGGTAGCCACGGTGAAACAAACCGACACTGGTTTAAATCCAATTGGATTAAATAAACTTTCCTTGTATTTGTTAGAACTTTTCTATCAATAATAATAACAAACTAGTAGAGTATTTTCACATAATATATAATTGTGAATATCATAATAGTATTCTTCTTGGCATGTCGCCTCTGACGTTCATATTTGTGAGGACCAATACTTAACGACTGAAATAGGATTATCAGTGACGTTGTACAGGTCCTCGCGTGTGCAAGTGTAGGGACACGCAGGCCAGGACAAAAGATGTGCCATTGTCTGGGGAGAGACACCACACAGACGTGCGCTCTTCGAGCTCTAAACTTCCAAGTTTGCCAAGGCAAATCATGCCCAGGTGGAAGGTGCTCCGACAGGCAGCGGGATGAGTGATACCGTGGGGTATCTCTCCTTCCAGAGACTCGGTTCGGGGCTGGTTAGTTGCCCCGTCCAGAGGGTATAATTCTCTGGATTAGCGGGCACGTGATAGTGTAATGGGTGCCGCGATAGTAAAAATCATAATACCCACTAAAACATCATGATACCCAGTGAAATAAATATTGTAATCCAAAGTAATATTTTCTTACGTTTTCATGTCTCAACTGCTGAACCAATTTTGATGAAATTTAGTAAGATTATAGATGGGACTTAGGAAAAGGACATAAGTTACTTTTCACCCCAGAAATAAATCTTAAAAGGGATTTAAATTTGTATGGAGAACGAATAAACTATGAAAGTTAGTATAGTACATTAGGCCACCCTACTACTAGAAGTATTCTACTCAAACGAAGTCGCGATCACCAGCTAGCCTAATAAAAGTAAAATAAATACTGCCTTTAATGGCGAAACCTGATCATGGCGAGTCCTTAATTGCTTTATTACAATAGGCTTAATTTGGTAAGTAGCGGAACTTTCACAATAACGTTAAAATATTTTAGTGAATAATGAAAAAGGATATTCCATGGAAAAGGATTCTAGTCACCTGATTGCCGTTTGCGCTTTTATTTTATATCAAAGTGACGGCACGAACTTGTGCTGTTATACGGGGCGTAGTAAAAGTCTTTTTAAAAAAACACAATTTTCCCGAGATTGTGTAATTCGGGAAGAAGTGGTAATTAAGTGCAATAGAATAAAGAAATAGTATACAAAATGGAAACTGAATTGGCACGTGTTTACACGACAGGAGTATTGAAGGAACTGAACTGCTTTCTATTGAGTTTTAGTGATGTTCAAAGAAGAATGCTGAGTAGGAGGAATGGCAGGGCTGATTCTAGTAGTTTAGGTAGTAGGGCCGCTTCAGAGTAAACTTACGGTTTTAAGTAAGTTTGCGAAAAGAGAGGAAAACAAAAATGATTTGTGGGTGCTATTCACTTAATACGAAGACGAGGCGGGGATTTGTAGATGATAAATTTAGAGAAATATTTTCACTGTTTAGTTCATTATTACGATTCCTGTTACGGAAAACTAAACGTGTACCAACTCTTACATTATACATATGATTATACTAAAGAATATAATAATTGAAATTACACTTAAGGAAATACTTATATAATTAGAGGTTACATCATCATCTAAATCATATTCTGTATAATCGTTGAGAATTTTATCAGGTAAGTTATTTAAAAGTTTCAAGTTGTCTAGGTTCACATTATTAATCTTAGATTTAGAAATATCAACATTTTATTCCAAAAATCTTTTAAAATTACAACAAGTATCATTAATTGTATTAAAATTTGATTGAATCGGATTGATAAGTGCTCTGTAGTTTTCTTTAGCTTCTAATTTAGTTTCTTTACAGAAAGCAGTACATTCGGGTGACAGTGTGAGTATACCGGTTCCTGATATAACGTATATATAAGTTATTTTAGAATTACATTGAATGGTTAATTTGGCGTGATCTGATTGGACAAAAACCCATTTATTATAATTCAATTTGTGCCAAATGTCAATGGTTTCGTATATAATCTCAGTATCACATTTATCTGGTAAACTTTTAATAGCTTTCGTCATTATTTCGGTTTCACAACTAGGGTTATTAGTAACGCTATAAAGATCAAGAGACTTACATATAAAGTGTTTATCATTAATAATTTTGCATAAATCTAAATTATCAATATTAAAATATGTTTTCCTATCTTCACCAATACC